AATTTAAGAGATTATGTGGTGGTTGGATACATTAGTGTACTTTTTGTGATATGAATCCTTAATCCTACTTAATGTATATCATTTATTACATCAATTTTATATCTAATTTTATGACTTACTAATCTTCTAAGAATTTTTTGGCATAATTTTCAATATTATTACTGAAGTGGATAATTCTTTATCTATAATGAAAGAATAAATAATTAAATATTACCCTAAGTTGTGTAGAGGAAAACTACCGTTTTTTATTTTTTCTATACAGTTATGTAGTTTTTTTTATTTCATTACTCATGTTATAAATATAAAATCAATGTAATTCTGTCCTCTAAGAAGTCTAATAGACCTTTGAAGTTTAAAGTTCTATTTTGCTTTAATAATATCTGAAGGTTGATCTTGGTATTTTTTGCTTTCTAGAGAAAAGATATTCACATGGTTCTTTTTCCTTACTTTTTATTGTCTACAGTCATATGAGCTATAATGTTTTTGAGAGATTGAAATAAGTAGAAACATAAATACTGCTCCTATGTTCGGCATTTCTCAACATGACTTCCCATTGTTGTTTGTCAAGTGTTAATGAATATTTTTTTTGTTTTAAATTGTTATTTTTTAATTAGTTTTAATTAAAAATTCTTCTCTTTTTATTTATTTAAATAATTTTAAAATTACTTATTTTTTGTACTTAATTAATTATAATTTTTGTAGATTTGACACTCTTTTTATATATTACTTTATTATTTTATTACTTAAATGACTACTACACTTATTAGTAAATTTTAGCCTATCAATTTTGCTTGAAATAATATACCATGAATCTCATCTATTCATTTCATGCAAAATTCTAGTGAAATTGAAAATTAATATAAAGTATTGATATATACATCACTTCCTAATCACAATAGTAGTTCATATGTAAACATCATTCATCACAAACATGGTGTAGTTGATATTAGTTGAAACTTCAAAAGGAGAAAAAAAAGAAAAAGAAAGGTCGCTTTGCAATTTGAACACAAGAGCATTGACGAAGACTTAGATCATAATACCATGACCAAGACTCAGTCTAGTCTCTAAAGAAGTCATTTTACAATTTGAACACAAGGGTATTGATGAAGACTTGGATCATAATACCATGATCGAAACTCAATCAAGTGTCTAAAGAAGTCGTTTTACAATTTGAACACAAAGGCATTGACAAAGACTTGGATCGTAATACCATGATCAAAACTCAATCAAGTCTTTAAAGAAGTCGTTTTACAATTTGAACACAAGAATATTGATGAAGACTTAGATCATAATACCATGACCAAGAGTCAATCAAGTCTTTCATTAATATGGAGTCTTTAAAAATATTAATTCTCACCATTCAATTAATTCTTGAACAAAAAAATTAGAAGTTGATATTTTTAAATATAAAAAAATAAAAA